TAAATACAGGTTTCTCATCCAAAAGTCATCTCTCAGTTGAGTTGTTACAACCATTTTCTCCTATAAATGCAAAGCAGATAATTGAGTAAAAGTTAATGATCTACCTAATGCCTCTTTGTCAATTTGGGAACCAAATTTGTCAGATTTAGTAAGGGCTCATTTCCAACTTACTTTACATACATATTACTTTATTTACATAGGTATCTTTTCAAAAAAGTTCTTTAGCAATAGGGCTTTCGAATGTAAGATTTTGACAATTTGTCACGGGCAATACACCTTCCATCACAAACTATAAACTCCCTGGTGCAAATAATGCACTTTCCTAGTCTCCATGAGGATAAAAATCTAAAAAGGTAATGCAAGAAGTGCAACTAAATAAAATTCTTAGGCAAAGAATGGAACAACTCAAAACATTTTGTAGACATGAAAGGGACATAAAGAAAAGTGCTGAATCAAAGCTCAAAATATTGTTCAATACATAAGAAATATATAATATTTGACATTTAAACTGTGTTCAGATAATTTAATATGCCCCGTAGACTTAACCTGTTATTTCTAGTAAGTTGCACCATACCTGAGATGAACTTGATAAATGTCAATGTCTAGTCTACCTAGTCCTGCTTCGTTTCTAGGGTTCCTTTATTCTGTTCAAATTAAATTGTTAAAGATGACTCTGGCCTGGACCAACTGCAAACATCTTAATAACACACTGCACAAATATTTTTATCAGTCTGTATTATCTGCATTTGATTTTATTATTATTTTTGACCACAAGTACTTCAACCAGAAAAAAGTTAATTCATAAAATTATGTTTGTATTATTTACTTTAAAAATAAAGCTTTTGTATTTTATAAGCTTTATTTAAGTTCACGATGTCAAAAATAACTAACAGAATAAAATCTATCTTAATAAGCACATTCCTATAAATGAGTGAATTCTTTAAAGTTCACCCAATTCTGAGAAAACATGGACACCAAAAATTCTGATTCACATTTAGAATCTACAATACAAGCTTTATTTATGCTAAATTCTGTTGGCATAAGGACATCAATAAATTCAAATTTTTAATTTACCTTTACACTGCTACAATAATTTGTCTTATGGTAGATAGGAGTTTAAAATTGATAGTTTGTAACTTACCGCACAGGTAAACCCCAATGGTTATAATTGACTTCTCATAATACTTACTTGATGGAAATATATAATTTTAAAGTCTTCCTTAAAAAAAAGGCTTACTGGTAAAAGCTACTTCCTTGTGTCTGTAAATTACTCTTTACAAATTATGTATTATACATTTTCCTTGTACCTGTATTACTAAAGAATTTTCATATTAACACAATATTGTTCAATAAATAAATCCATGAATATTTTTTGATTATATGAATATTACAATGGTTCACTTTAATAACAAAAAATGAGTAACTCTTTATGTTCGTTTTTTCTAGGTACACATGACCTCTAGGATACTCACATGACTCATGATAGGCATACATAGCCTCTGGTAGCTGAACACACTTGGCTTCCTATTGTGGGCACACATAACCCTCTAACACCAAGCACACGTGGCTCGGTAGGCAACATACCTCTAGTAGCTGAAGCACACTTGGCTTCCTATTGTGGGCACACATAACCCTCTAACGACCAAGCACACATGGCTCAGTAGGCATACATAGCCTCGTACTGAAGCACACTTGGCTTCCTATTGTGGGCACACATAACCCCCTATCGACCAACACACATGGCTCGGCAGGCATACATAGCCTCTAGTAGCTGAAGCACACTTGGCTTCCCATCGTAGGCACACATAACCTACCAAGCACACTCCATAGGCACACATCACCCTAAGCACACATGGCTCGATAGGCTACATAGCCTCTACAGCTGAGCCACTTGGCTTCCTATGTGCACCATAACCTACTAACCACATCACCCATAACCACTGGCTCGATGGCATACATAGCCTCTAGTCTGACACCTTGGCTTCCTATTGTAGGCACACATAACCTACTACGTACACATGGCTCTTAGGTACAGCCTTTCAGTATGTAAAGCACACTTGGCTCTATAGGCGTACATAACTTCTAGTAGCCAAAGAAAAGTGGGCGTTCGTTTCTTTTATTTATAGCAATAACATTAATAATCGTATAAAACACTTGTACACCTTAGATTGGGTCCTTATCCCACTTCTGAATTGTTATGAATCCTCAATATTCGACTATATATTATACAAATACTTCTCCTTATTGTCATAGATTGGTTTGTTGGCTCAGCCATTTAATATCGACATTGAGAGTCTACTGTTTAAAGGCTTCTGCTTAGTTAGACCGCTCATCGAACTGAGGGCCACACCAACCAGTTCCTGTATTTAAGCACAGCATTTGTAATTCCAGTTTCGTGACATTTCGTGTACTCGTTCCACGACCGAACCCGAATCGACCACAGAGTCGAACGGCAGTCATAGGAACGAGTGTCAAAGATTACTTTAATATTTATAGTCATTGATTTAATATTTAAAATTATGATAAATAACGTTTAATAATAATAATGACTATGGAGTCATTATTATTATCGACCATTGAATAGTCATTTCGAAATTAACCATTCTTTAACGGTTTACACTAATTTGACTTGACGTTATTCATATTAATGACATGGCAATTAAAAATAAACGTGATTTGAATAATAAATTTGTAAAATAATAATAAGTAATCACAAATTCATTACATTAGAAAACAGGATTAAAGAAAAAAAAAGTTATAAAATCTGTAACCATTGTGTATCCTCGATAGGTGCGGACGGTATGCACAAACATAATCCTTATAATATACAATTAATAAGTTTACATATGTATATAAAAATCATTAAAGGGTTTCAAAACAAAATACCTTCAATTATAAGGTATAAAGTTATAATCTTATTTCAATTCCAGTTTATATAAAATAAATAAATAAATCAGTGACAACCTCTTGAGGTCTGGGCCTCAGATTTCTGAATCTGTTTCATGATCATTTTTAAATCTAATAGGCAAGTAGGTGATCAGCCTCCAGTGCCTGAGACACGCCGTCGACTTTTTGTGTATAAGACATGTCGGTTTCCTCACAATGTTTTCCTTCACCGTTCGAGCGAATGTCAAATGCGCACATAGGAAGTCCATTGGTGCACAGCTGGGGATCGAACCTACGACCTCAGAGATGAAAGTCGCACGCTGAAGCCACTAGGCCAGCTCCTTTTTATATAAAACTGCTAAATAAATCAAGCTACAATCTTGCAAATACAGGACATTGACCTTATTCTTCGTTCCACATACCAACTGCAGCCATCTCCACTTTATGGACGTATGTGTTTAAGTTTTAGTCATTCAAACTAACAGAACGTATCCAAGACATCTCAAATGAGATGACTGTACATAGGGAGGGATGTATCGGTAGATAATATTGGATATGGCAGAGAAATAATAAATGCAGTTGAAATGATAGCGTCAAGAAATATGTGTGGTGTATTCGTAACTCGATAGGATAAGCAATAGTGAGATACGTGAGCAGTGAGGGATAAAAGAGGATTAGAATACGAAAGTAATGAGAAGCAGCTTACGAGTAGGATTAACATGGCTACCGTGGATGGTAAGGTTGGGTCGAGTAAGTCTTGCCGTAGAGAAGGGACAGGACAAAAGTACACATAACCACCATTCATGGTGAATATCATAAAAGAGGATGAAGCGGGAGAGGTATTTCAGGACTGTAGCAACAGGGGATCTATGGTAACTATGGTCTATGGTATCTATGGTCTATGGTGCGTGTATAGTTAGAATTGGTTTAATTAATAATTGCACTCCTAAATAAATAGTATTTAATTTTATAATTATCAAATCAATGTAAACAAAATATTGTAAACACTATTTTAAAAGAGTAAGTATGGAGTTTCTTTCTTTCTTCATATAAAACTTTTGAAAGTGGCAACTAGCGTCATTATTTTTAACTTGTAATTTTGACTTTCAAAAGTGGATTTTTAATAGCCCTAATTGAAATAAATTTGATTTATACATGGAAATTCGGTTCCGATTTTCGAAATGGTTCGAAATATTATATAAATATATTACTATTATAATTATTATAAACCTAGCATCCTCCCGCAGCTTGGCCTCATGGATATCATGTGTTTTGGCGATATATAGATATATATATATTTGGGATAACAAATGAATTAACAATTTATTTGTAAATTACTGTGGTATATGTTTATTAGATAAACGATAGTTCTAATATTAAATTTAAAGGTTAGTATGACCTTCTAATTAAGTTCCATGAACGTAAATCTAAAGTCGATTCTAAAGAGCAAAGTCCATTTAAGCAAGAGCATTTTATGGTCATGCCTTGTGGTCACATCGAAATGTGTGTCAGTAAGCAGTTGCACTGAGATTACGTTTGTTACGCGTGCTAGGTTCAAGGGGAACTAGCCAGACTGTCGACGCGTTTCACTATTAATAGTGCCACGGGTCTATTTAGTAGATCGGTCTCAGTTCACAAATGTGCGGAGTCGCGAACGATCAAAAACCTATGCGCTCACGAAATACGCGTTCAAATAAAACGAAACGGTTGCCGCACACCCGATATGACGATACTTTTAATCACTTGTTTATCGACCACCCTCCGCGATCGCAATTTGCATAAACCACGAGAACTCATCAAACAGTGCAACCGTGTGCATAGATTACGCAATCGTTTTCAACACCACCTCGTGCAGTTACTCGGATAATTTCAGTCTCAGACTAGTGACCACTTCTAAGTGCTAGTTAGGTTCCTATATGTGCTGTGTGTTGAAAAACAAAACTGACATTGGTGCTATTTTAAAGTGAATGCCACAGAAACGTGTTTTTGGCGAAATGCCAAATATTATTACGGCAGTAAACAAACAAATTAGAGTTGTATAATAAAATTGGCATGTTTCATATTTTTAGTGCAGTGTTTACGCAGATGAGTTCAAGCGGGATAAAGATTGCGAAATGTCGGAAAAAGAGGAATCGAGTGATAGTGATGGCCCTATAGTAAATGACAATGTAATACGTATTCAATTACGAAAGCCGACCCACAGAAAATGGGAATTGCGGACGCGAAATCTATCCCCCGGGATTAAGTTTCCCACTATTCAGCTGTTCGACAGCGAAGGGAATTTACTTGTGGAAACAAATGATGAAAACATATCAGTAAAGAGCGTATGTTATGATGAAACTAGTTTAAAAAGTACTCAATCATTAAGAGAGAAAGAATCTAAGCGAACAGTTTATACACATCCTATACGAAAACAAAATACTATTTCGGGCGATAGAATTTACACGCGAATATTCAAAGGGTCAGGTTTTATTAGTCATGAAAGAGAAAATTGTGATAAGAATTTAATTGTAGGACATATTAGTTCTCAAAACATTCCAAATAAACACAAAGAAAACCGTAGCGTAGATAGTTTAAACTCAATTCTAGACACTACGCCGTTTATTTCAGATTATGATGTAAGTAGTTATAAAAGTTCAGATAACGAAACAAACGATGATTTTATTTGCGCAAAAAATCACACACCAGAACATTGCATAAATAATGAAATATCTGAGCAAATATACGAAAATAATGTAAATAAAGATAAGGAAAATAATATAGCCGGTCTCCACGGATCTCAATCATTTACGGATCCGGTACCAAAATATCGTTTAAGAGATACAGACGCCGTACAGCGTTCCCAATCTGGAATTATTTATAAACCTCCGCCCAATAAGGTTTCCTTTCTAAATACTTACCTTAAAAGCATAACCGCACGCAGGGCGTCCAATACAGGATTCATTTTAAACCGTCCCCCAATTAAAGACTCTCCACAAAATTCACATAACACCACCGAGGCTGTTCCTAAATTAAACTGCGAGAGATCCTTTGAATTGGATATCACAGATAATGATTACATTAATATTCCAACGGACGTAGCGGCTAATTCCGTGATGAAAAACCGTTTAAAAATCTATCGGCGCGGTATATCCGAGATCGAATTGTACGACGAAAGTACAAGTATATCTGGGAAGAAAAGACGGCATTCAGTGAGCACAATGCAGATTAGCCGAAGTTCATCCTCGGAAAGTGTAGACGAGGCGGATGTGATACTAAATCGCTTGAGGCGTAGAATAGTGAAGAATAAGTTGAGGGAAAAACGACGTAGTGTCGGTACTAAGCTCCTTGGTAAGTATTACAAAGTTTTAATTGGTTGCATTGGGTGAACTCTTTGTTACGGGTTATACTCGTAACTTAGATTCTAACACTACTACTACTCTACTATAAGGAATATAATATCTCATATGCATAATGCAATGCTTAACTATTTGAAAGGCAACGCATGAAAATATTCATAAAAAACAGTAAAGTTTAGTAATAAACAAATCGACTTAAGTGGATTTCTAAAAAGCTAATTAAAAGGATACTTATTACAGTATCTTACATTCGATTTTTACCTACTATATCCCGCAAAATATATGTATCAAATAAATTTATGAATCGGCGTGGGTCCTTATTGATTTCTTAATAATCTTGCATGTAATACTCCGTTTAGCATAAACTATAGAACAATATAGAAGAATATACGAACTCGCTGTAGCAGTAATAACGCAGCTCAGACCTCAACAAATATTTTTATTAATATCTGTTAGGCCCTGTGGCAGCGTTAATAATGCTCCTTTATCCCTTCAATCATAGTTGACATTGGTTCAGCTGTTGAACTAGTTGCATTATGAATTTCGTCATATATAAACAAAGCATACGTAGGTACAAAAATCATAATTATGGCTTATGTAAATACTTTGAGGTTTGACGACTCATTGGTCTAGTGGTTAGTACCACTGACTGCGAATCCATGGGTCCCGGGTTCGATCCCCGGCTGAGACGAACATAGATGTGATGAGCATTTGGTGTTGTGCTTAGGTATTGGGTGTTTAAATATGTATTTATATGTCTATCTATCTATAACATGTATGTATATCCGTTGCCTAGTACCCATAACACAAGCTTAACCAGCTTAGCATGGGACTAGGTCAATTGGTGTGAATTGTCATTAAAAAAAAAAAAAAAAAGGGTCCGTGTACTTATGTACGCGCGTAAGAAGTTATACTTTTTTGGCAATATTAAAAATAGTTTGGCTTTGTTCCACCTCCAGTTTTTGATGTTTCACAGCGATAAGATGAAAACTCTTTTTTTGTATTCAATTTAGTGCAGTTACACTGATTCATCAATTGTTTTTTGTCTCTTTTCCTTATATTTGCTAGATAAAATCAGAAAAATTACATGTTTTGATTAAACAATGTGGTTAATTTTTTAATCAAAACATTACTCGATAATAATAATAATACATACGGATAGTTAACCTCAATTGTATTGAAGCACTTAGGAAGGTTGATGAGCACAGTTTTTTCACAAATATTAATTAGTATTGGTTTAAATATTCAATTTAAATCACTTCTGATTATAATTCAAAAAGCATCGCTAAATTTCTTTGAAAAAATAATTAAAACTCCTTTATTTGTTTAAAAGGTAAATGACAAATGAATGTCATTATGGTCATTCAAAATTGTTGGCATACGAACTTCACGCATATTCTATTTCTTTTTACTTGTAGATTGTCTTATTCCTATCTCGCTCGCGCACGCTTATAATCACACTCCTAATTTTGTGTCACGGGTGCGCGCGCATTGTAAAATTTCAATCTCATAAATTTTTCATAACGCGCCTAAAGAAGTATAACTTCAAAAAAATAAGTGCATTAATTTTGAGAATAATAAACCAATTTTAGTTTACATTGTATAAATTGTCCATCGACAACAAACTCCTTATCTACAATTCAGTTATAAAACCCGTGTGGACCTACGGGATACAATTGTGGGGAGCATGTGACTCTAACAAAACTAAAATTCAAAGAACACAAAACTACATCCTTAAACAAATAAGCAACTCGCCTTGGTTCATAAGAAACGCTGAAGTACATGAACACCTGGGCATACCTACAGTCAAGGAGGAAATAAAAGTATACGCTCAGAAGTACAAGACTAGGCTGGAAAATCATCCTAACCATCTAGCTGTTCAACTCACCCTACCGGAGTATATAAACCGACTCAAAAGACGAAGAATCCTGGAGCTCAGCAGCATTGACTGAACTAATATTATTATGGTAGATATTCCTAATGAGGAATATCTCCACCCGCAAATCATCCTACAACTCATCTGCTCATAGTCAGAAGACTGATTGCACGATGCGCTCTATAATAATAATAAAAAAAAAGTTTACATTGTATAAAAAATTATAACAAAATTAATCCATCTTACAAGTGAAGTAACCCCATTTGTACCTACTTAAACTATAATTACGGTACACAAACAACAAAACCAAAATACTATAATAAATTATTAAAATCTTAATCACAGGTTCGGTTTCTTTTTAATTATGAGACCCCTAATGCTGGCAGCATTACACATTTTTTTTTATACATTTACTCGTATTCGCTTAAGACTGATAAAGACTAATTTCACAATATTTGAAGATAAATAAATATATTTAAAATTAAGAAAAAATGAACTGAAAGTGATCTTGATACATATTATATCATATCTAATAGAAGTGCACAAAGTTTTTCGCGCCTTTTCAATGATTTTTGGGACGCCATCTGTAGAATATACGGTTAACGTTTGTTGATAAGTAAATCTGTTTTTACTCTATCTAGTGGAAAAGCATTGTACTAGAAATAAAATAAGAAAAATTTCCACGTTGAGTAGAAATTTAACTTGTAACACAGAATCAAAGACAATTGCTATTAATTATATATCTTGGATAAAATAAAGAGAGTCTATATCTTAGGTTTTTCAACTTTTGTAAAGGAAATTATTCTTTGGGATTTATTTAATAATTGGTCTACACTCCGTTTGAGTAAAAACGTGTATTAGCGTCACCTCAATGCTATTTTTTGAACTACTTAGGATTTGAACTTGAAATTATTTAATCAATCTGATTTGATTATAACGCCCTCTAGTAGAAAACCAGCGTACCACCAAAGAGTAGTGTTCATTTGTAAACAATAGAGTATCGCATTCACTACCCAGAAATAAAAGATAATAAATTTAATAAACATATTCGTTTTTAAACAAATTAAAAGTTACACTAAGTTTGGAGCTTACTTAAAATTTTTAAGTCCAACCTACCTAGTCCGATTTAAAATTGAGGCCCAAAGTAAGTAGTAAGTTAATGAATATTTAATAGGAATAAGTAAGAATTGTTTCTTTTTCGACGATATTATATAAAAAAAATAGGTACATAAATTAAAATACAACAACGACGAAGTACGAACCTCTTGGTAGTTTTAAACTAAATTATATTACAATTTTAACTTATGACAATAAAAATATGTTCACCGAAAAAACATTAATTCTCATCGTTTAATATAATACCTACGGTAAAAGCGATACAGTTCGCAGAAAGGGGTGATGGTTATTTATAGTCCGAACTTCCGAGCATCAGCGCCAGCGTGGAAAAGTCGAATTAATTTCAATGTAAGGTCAAGGACGAATGGTCGAATCGGCCCAACTTACGGCAATGCGGTGTGACACACATTCTGACTGCAGAACATTAATTGGACACGATCAGTGTATAAACAATGGAGTGGCTATAATTTTCTTCAGTGTTTGAGCCTAAAAACAGTCACTTGTTAGTTAAACATGCGCAGTAAAGACAAGTCAATATCCTCCTCCCTAACGCCGCGTCGCCATGACGGGCGACGGCTCGAACGCTGGTTATGAGAAAGAGTGTAACTGAAATACTAATATAACTCAGATTTAATTAATGTTAAAAAAAATTAAGGTACCTCAGAATGTCTCGGATAATTAGATAACTAATTAACCATTACAAGTATATGTTTTCGAATAAATCAAGTTTAGTACTAAATAAGTCGAAAATTAATTTCAATGGTATCCTACGAAATAAATTTAATTAAAAGCAAGTGTGAAAAATATTGATCCATTTATTATACATTTAAATCAGTTCGATTTGCATATAGTAAAAATTTTGTATCTATATTGTGTAAAAACATTTAAATAAATTCTGTATTCTCTTTTACAAACCACGTTACGTTCTTAGTCTTTGCGAGCCACTGCTAAGTTAGTTTTGAGTTTGGCCGCTAGAGGGTCGCGAGCGCGAGCCTGCGATGCCAGCTCACAGCTGGTTGACTGGTTGTGTTTGTCAGCGTTCGCTCTGACCGGTTGTCGTGTGCCGGTGCATTCCAAGCTCACGTGGACTAAACTCGAATAAACCGATTCAATTTTTGACCCCATCCACTTTCCTCTAACTGTAACACGGGAAAGTAAGTGTTTTCGATCGGGTTGTGTACAAAGTTGTGGAGTGCGTTTGTGATAGTTTGTTTGCTTTTGAATTTGCTTCGGTTCGCATAAAAGGAATTCCAGCCGCACTTTGTTCTCTAAGGTAGGTGTTGTAGTTAATTTAATGTGAATATGGGAATGATTTGTACGTATGGCTAAAACCGTTTTTTTCTATTCGAGTTCACAAATAAAGTCGCTAGAATATGCCGTAATTAGTAGTTGCACATAACATATAAATGTTTATTTATGTGAAAAATCTTATAGCGCTATTAGGTTTATAGCTGGCTCAATCTTGTTTTTATTAGAAAAACAAATAAGATGTCCGGTTCATGGCATTATATTTGTAAAATATATTAGATATTTGTCTTTCAACTAAACAATACACTTTACATTATCAGGCGTGCAATTATTTAAATCTTATCGCGAATTAAAATTTACACACTGCAAGTAAACTGATATCAATCAAGATAGGCTGAATTACGTATAATTATAGCACTAAAATCTAATATGTAATTTTACTTTAAGTGTAAACGAAATTCATAGTATCTTAACACTTAATTTGTATAATTATTTACTACGATTGCCTCCTATTACATCAAAAAAAAATTATATCTTCTTTTTTAATTTAGATGCCATTAGGCGCATTAATTTATTAACTTATTTAGGCAAAGAAATTATAAAATTACACTTTTTTATACTCGAAATGCCTGGGTTACGATTAAGTACTTACTTGATTTAATAATTTTTAATAGAACCCAAGGTTTTTGCGTAAAATTATAAGAAACAAATGGAACACACTGGAATGTAGTGACTTATGTGATACATTGTTGTCCCAAAAAGTTTTGGTTAAGATCTTGTAGACTTTGTA